TTATGTTAGTAGTGTAGGCCCCAATTCCAGGCTATTCTGGAAAGCTAACGGCCAGGTCATCCCTTCAGCTGTCATTGGACATAGCGGACACAGCTTCCTGCTCCGTGGTGATGTCAGTAGTTAGGTAGGTAGGTTTCTTGGCTGCAGCCATTAGGGTTCCCCAAAAAGGTTCAGGTGATGGTAGAAGATCTCCCCTTTGAGGTTAACAAGCCTTCAGCAAGAAAACCAGTGAGTCACTCACTCCAATACTCTCATGCCACTCTCCATTCCTTGGGAATGTGCACCCCACCATCTTGCAGAAAATATTCTAAAGTGGTGCAGCCCCATGGCCATTCTACCAGAGGCCCCCTGAGCAACCAGGAAAGCACCATAGAGTACAGTGCGGCCGACACACCACTCCACTATTGTCCTTGTCCAGACTCAGCTGCTTAATCTAGGTAGGGGCTGGAGAGACCATAATCGGGGAAAGGGCTTTTTCTCCAAATACTTCCTGATCCCCAAAAAGAAAGGGAATTGCAGGTTCATCCTGGACCTCAGGCATTTGAAGTCTTCATCTACCACATAAAATTCAGGATGATTACCCTAGTTGCTCTAATCTGCTCCCTAAACAAAGGAGACTGATATGTGATTCTCAATTTAAGATGTTTATTTTCATAAAGACATTCCCCCAGCACAGGCAATTCCTGCATTTTTCAATGGGTTTAGAGACTAAACCCAGTACAAGATGTTCCCCTTTGGCCTTGCAGTGGCCCCAAGGGTTTTTACAAAGGTCATGGTGATGGTAGCTGTGCGCTTGCGCCAGCAACTCTAAAATATATTTCCCTCCCTAGACAGATTCCTCATAATGAGAGACCTCAGCATTCATCTCAGTCTTTAGACAACAATCTGGTCCTGCTTGGTCCTCCAAGGCTGCATGGTAGCATGCACCTATGTGGCCCCCTTTTTCCAGGCTACACTTGTGCAGTATCCTGGCTTGGCTGAGAAAGGTCTACCTTCCAAACAGAGATTCCTTGGACAAGAGAATCTCAGTTCCTCATAGCATCTGGACACCTCTCACCTGGTGGGAGAAGGACATTGTTTGTGTGGTAGTTCCCTTTGCTCCCTTCCTTCCCACAAAGGCACTCATTATAGATGTGTCTCTATGAGGCTGGACAATTACGCAGCTCAAGATTCCTGGACTGTCAGGTACCAGACCACCTAGGCACAACTGCTGGCCTGCTCCCTAGCTAACTGCGCTGCAAGGAACCTTAGAACTCTTAGAACAGCCCCTGATTGGCTGCTAGTTTAGCAGTCCTGCTTATAAGCTTGGCCCCCACAGCCGTTTAGTGGCTGCTCAACGCATACCACATCCACAACTGTACTTGCCCTTGTTCCAGCCTGCTTCCTGTCCCTGCTATGTATAAACGAACAGAGGGGACCAGAGTCCGTACCACTCTGGAGGGAGGCTGGCCCGCTCTGAAATTGGTGCACCCACCATCAGATCATCCTCACTGCAGTGCCAGGAACGATGAAATCCTGAGCAGACAGCCTCAGCAGGCATTTTCACAAGGATCACAAGTGGGAACTCCACATCGGTGGTACAGCAGATATTATTCTCATCATGGGACCTCTTTACCACTCAGGGAAACAAGAAGTGCCCAGCCTATTGCTCTTGAGACACACAGGGGCACAACTCCGGAGGGGATGCCCTCCTAAAGCAACGGTCAGACCTATTGATATATGCCTTCCCTGTCATCCCTCTCCAACCTCATATATTCTGAAACACGAAGTTGGACAAGGCAATACTGACTTTAATAATACCATGGTGGCCATGACAGTCCTGGTTCACCATGGCTCTGCAGATGGCCTCCTGCCAGTACGTTTACTTACTGCCATCTCCAAACCTATTGTCACAGAATGGAGTCAGGACCAGCCATCCCAACCCAGCATCCCTCCATCTGGCAGCCCAGATTTTGGATGGGGAATGAATTTAGAGAGATCCTGCTCAGAGGAAGTCCAATCCCTCTATCTCAATAGTTGGAAGCCCTCTCCATGAAAGTGTGATGCTGCCACATGGAAGCGATTCTCCTTGTGGTGTCAGAAGTATCAGTTGTCTCCAGTGGAGTCAGGGATTCCTCTTATCCTGGACTGTCTTCTCTCCTTGAAGCCATCAGTTGTATCAGTTCAGTGCAGGTATATTTAGCAGCCATTAATGCCTTTTGTTGCCCCCTAATGGTGGAGAACTGCTTTGTTTTATTCTACCCCACAACAGTAAAATTCTTAAAAGGCATTGTCAGAAAATTCCTGCCAGTATCAAAGCATATGGCCACTTAGGATATGAATCGGTGCTGTTGACTTTGCCATTTGAACTCTGGGCCTCCTGCTCCCTCTTCCACTTATCTATAAAGGTGGCTTTCCTAATGGCTATCACCTCAGCCCGGGGAGTGAGTGAGCTTGGGGTATTTATTGCAACCCCACCTTATATGATTTGTCATAAGACAAAGTATCTCTGAGATTGCATCCCAAGTTTATCCCCAAAGTTCCTTCTGACTTTTACTTCAACCAGACAGTCCACCAGTATTTTAACCAAAACTTCACAATATGAGGGAGCACAGAAAGCACTGTTCCCTACATGTATGCAGTGCTCTGACCATCTGTCTGTACAGGATACAGCCCTTTAGAAGATCTCCAAGGTTATTCATCACTTTTGCTGAGAGGATGCAAGGAGAGGAAATATCTTCCCAAGGACACTCAAAATGGATCTCCAGCTGTATCCTCTGCTAGCAGCTTGTGGAAGCCCCGCCTCCTCAGTATGTCATGGCTCATTCTACCAGAGCTCAAGCTGCTCTGGTTGGCCTCTCTACAAGGAATCCCAATCTTGGGAGATCTGTAGGGGCCAACTTGGGGCTTCAGTCATACATTTATCAGGCACTATTCTTAGAGTGAAGTGTCAGCAGGTTCCTTACCTTATAGTAACTGGAGTTCTTCAAAATACGTAGTCCCTGTGGATATTCATGACCCACCCTCTTCCCCTCTGCTTGGGTCCTCACATGATTAGAAGTAGAATAAGAGCTGGAGAGGCAGTCAAACCATGCCACTCCTTATGCTCTTGGATGAGAGCAAGAGGAGGCAAAGGGTACAAACTTACCCGTCACTACTGGTGAAGAGTTTCAGAGTAGCAGCCGTGTTAGTCTGTATTCGCAAAAAGAAAAGGAGTACTTGTGGCACCTTAGCGACTAACCAATTTATTTGAGCATAAGCTTTCATGAGCATCCACTGAATGCATCCGATGAAGTGAGCTGTAGCTCACGAAAGCTTATGCGCAAATAACTGTATTAGTCTCTAAGGTGGCACAAGTACGCCTTTTCTTTTTACTGGTGAAGAGTTTCCAATCCAGGGTGCATGGTGTGCATGTGTACCCACAGTGAATACCCATAGGGGCCACACATCTCAAAGACCTCCAGTTACTATAGCTGTTCAGGGGCTAAGCCATGCCTGATCCATGGGTGTCTGATCCAGGAAGCATCCTACTGGCACACTGCAGGATACTCCAAGCTAGCTCATTAAGGCAGTTAGGCTTACAGCTGAGCTTTACTACTGGCCTGAAAAGAAATGCACACTTTCAGTTAGCATGCACTACAGACCACAGATGGCAAACAAGCGAGGGGTCTGGGAATGCCTCTTAGCTGGCAGGCCACACCCCTGTGGTTCTATAGAACACTGTCCGAGCTCCCCAAACCTAGTGCTTTCCCAAGCACTATTACTAACATCATGGAAACTTCCAAAACGTGCCAGTCACTTTACAGACTTAGAAGGATGAAGACTTTGTCACAAAAGTGCAACATCTGGAAGGTACAGTACTAGGTAGGGAATTTGTCTGCTGCTTGTGTAAAGGGTGGGAGGAGAAGTTCCCTGTGTTCTCCCTCATCCCCATTACACTTGTGCAGCACAATGCAAAATTTGTCCCAGGCACAGGAGGGCGAGAAATGATCACATTAATCTACTGCAGTGTGTCTCAGGCAGGTTACAAAATGTACTCAACTCTGACTTTGAAGAGACTCCTAATTTCGAAAGCAAATCAGTCTCCATGTCCATTCCATCAACTGCCTCTTTTCCGAGGTTCTAACATCAGTTATTAGGTGTCAGTTCTGATGGTGATTTTTGTCATGTGGACTAAAAACTGGTCTGAGACCACCAGCTCATTTCACATGGGCTTCTCTGGAAAAAATAGTAAGTGCTGTAATCATTTTCATCGTTTTTGTACTTGGACACATTCATTATCTTCCACCACGGCATAAATGGTACTTCAGACATATAAAACAGCATAGCGCTTGGCACAATCAGCTTGTAATCGAAATTAAACAATGTCTAGACAATAAAATGGATGGAGAAAGTAGACAGTGCTACACAATGGTTTAAATTAGGTGCCCTTGTTGTGTCTTCTAGGCTTTTCATTTGTTACCGTGGAACAACTTTTAAAAATTGTTTTCCAGACAAGAGTAGTACTTGTGAGGGCAAGAAGGAATGAAGAAGGGCAGCTATAGAAGGGATGGAACTAGTGAGAGGAGGAAAGGGCTCAAGGGGGAAGGAAAGATGGAATGGTGGCAAGTGGAAAGAATGGTAGCAACAAGGACAAAAATGGGGTGCAAAACTTAAGGGGCAAATGGGTGAGACAGGAGCAGGTAAGGCGGAGGTTAGTCTAACTTTAGATAGTGATGTTCAATAGGGCAGAATGAAAATGTAAAATGTAGACCAACAGGTTAAATATGGCAAACGCAAGTTGTATGAGAAGGTAGTGACTTTTGGTGAGGCTAGATTTTGGTAAAATTCGGACTTTGAAATGTTACCCTTTGTCCATAGTTGAATCAGCATCTTAGGGGTGAAACACTCCAAATACCATTACCAGTCACCTAAATATACTTGAAAATAAACCGAGGAGGTTTTTTTAAGTCAGTAACGTCCTCATTATTCAACCTGTTAAACTTAAAGTAGTTTAATTTCTTTCTTATCTGTTTTGACAGCTGAATCTTATCTTCCTGGTGATCACATTGTGCAAAATGGTGAAGCACTCAAACACTCTGAAACCAGACTCTAGCAGGTTGGAAAACATTAAGTAAGTGCTTTGTGTTCAAGTATGAGAACTATGATTATTTTCTGATTACTGAACTGATTGAAAGCTACTCTCCATTAGGAACACATGGCTTTGTCTCCCAGCAACTATGAATGTCAGTTAGAAAGAAACAGTACCAATCCTGCTTTCCTTACATTGTTACTATAATGTCACAGATATTGGTCAAAATTAGATCATTTCAGCCTGGAATTAATGCCAAGAAATTATGTCAGTATCTTCATGGAAATTCCATAGCAAAGTGGCAATTGCATTTGCATTTAAAATGTAGTTCAAAATGACGTTCCTGTTTGCATGGCTGATATGATTATGTTAAGTTTGTTTTGTTAAATGGCGTTTTTATTTTAGGGATTCTGAGCAGTTTTCATTTGTAATCCAGTTCTCCCAAGAGAAATGACTCCCTTACTATTGTTAACTTGAAGATTATTTGTTGTTTTCATGCTAATTGAACAAATGTTTACTTTATATTGGTGCTGTATTTCAGTATCCCTTTTGGAGAGTAATGCAAGTGTTACGTAATTAATAAGAATCTTACAGCTGTGATAGTCTTTTGATAGTCTTTTAGTGTATTCTGTTTAGTGCTTTTTTCAAACTGAGGGCTGTTGCTATAAACTCTTTGAAGGGATGGTGTAACTAAGGGTTGGTTGTGAAAAGGTGCTACAGATTTGTTTTGGATACTGAAAATGGCAAAGACAGGTTTACTTTAAGGCTAACATTGCAAACCAGATGCTATAGATAGGTCAGTATCAGCTTCATTGCATGTTGCATGATGAGAGAGAGCGCTAATCTTTAGCATCTCTCTCTTTTCTTCCTTTTCCTCTTTCTGTCTTCTCATCCACACCAGTAATTACCGTGTTTGTGATGGCTACTATAATACGGACTTACCTGGGTAAGATAGAACCCTACATTAACAAATTCCTAGCATGATATTTTTAATTTTACAAACTCCGCCAATATTGTGGATCACCCTTACTTTTAATTAACTAGTTTGGAAATATCTAATTTGCTAAAGTATTTTTAACTATTATATTCCTTTATGATTTTAAATTGCTTGCCTCTGCACTTTGAATTTCCTAATTTTGACTAATTTTTATTAAAAATACAAAAATGCTTTCATATTAATTTCTGTTACAATTCTGTCTAATAATTTTGTTTCTCTTTTCTGCTTATAATGCTTTCTAGCTATGAAGATAATAAACCATTTATCAAGTAAGATCATTAGTTAGATGTGGAATGCACTGACTAAAATCCCTTTCCCCTTCATTCTGTGCTGTTCTCGACAATTCCTTTTTCCTTAAACTAGTCATGTTGGAATCTCTGGATGTATCCATATTTTTGTCACATTTCAGCAAGGCTCCTTCATGTGGAAGTTAGATCACTTAGTCTTAGTTTAGCTGAGTTTGCCAGAATATTAAAGCTTTAGGTTCTAGGTTTTTACTCTGCTGTTTAACTTTTGTGTATTTGTTACATTATTTGGTGACATATGGAAGAACCACTGTTCAAAATATAGGGCTCAGTTAGTGGTTAAGCTAGATTTACCAATCTCCTTTGTAAAAATACAGATAAAGCAGTGGGGTAGCTGGGGCTTGTGCTATACCTTTGCATTTTAAAATAGTTTTGACATCTTGTGCAGTTCTTGAATAAGAAAAAGGTCATATCTACTGTTGCTGTTTCCACTGGAGACTGAAAGTACCAAATGGAATTGTTCTTTCTTTAATAGATGAAAGGTTAAAGCCAAGGATTTTTTGCATTTGAATGTGAACCTAGTAAAAGTCAACTGCAGCAACTGAAATGTTAATATTGGAGTTGGCGGTATGCATTTTTATCAGCAGTGTTACTAAAATTAATTTTCTTTTACAGGTCCTGGGTCTTAGGTGCATTTGCTCTCCTGTGTCTTCTTGGCCTAACATGGTCATTTGGCCTGCTGTTTATCAATGAAGAGACTGTTGTGATGACATATCTCTTCACAGTATTTAATGCTTTCCAGGGAATGTTTATTTTCATCTTTCATTGTGCCCTTCAAAAGAAAGTAAGTTACTGAAAACAAACACACATGGTTTATACCTCTTCAGTAGCCTGATATTTTTAGAAAAGAAATAGCAATGAAGAAAAATGGGAGATGGAGTGTAATTTCAAGGGAAGGCCTGTCTTCTAGTGGTTAGATCAACAGTGGGGAACTGGGAGTCAGAAACCATTGGTACTGTTTGCAGCAAGTGCCTTGCTGTGTGCTCTTAGGAAATTCATTTAACTACTCTGTGACTCATGCAGCTGTACACTGGGTATTAATAGGACACTGCAAAGGTGTTGCAAGGCTTAGTTAATGTTTCATAAAGTGGTCTGAGAATCTTGGATGAAAGTTACTGTAGGTAACTTCCCACAGCTCCCATTGGCCGGGACTGGTGAATCACGGCCACTGGAAGCTGCGGGCAGCCATGCAAATATAAACAAACTGGCAGCCCGCCAGCGGATTACCCTGTGGGGCCACAGTTTGCCCACCACTAAGTTAAAGCATCAAACAATGGCTGTTCAACTTTCCAGTCATTTACAATGTCAATGGGTTTGGCTACACTGCAAATTAAGGTGTGGTTGCAATGCAGCTAGGCATATCCATACTAGCTTAATCTAGCTAATGTGGGTAACAGTGGCAGTGAAGACACAGTGGCACAGATTCTGGTGTGGGCCAGCAACCTGAGTACGTACCCAGAGTCCCCAGGAGGCCTGGACTGGGGAAGCTAGTCCTTGCTGAATGCTGCACCACCACTTCCTCACTACCAATCTTAGCCATGCCAGCTAAATTAAAGCTAGTGTGGGTATGCCTACTCGTGCTGCAATCAGAGCCTCATTTTCAGCTTAGATGTGTCTCAACCTGCAGGAGATCACTTCTGGGGTTGAGGGAGTACTGTACCCTCTATATCAGTGAAAGGTCCTTGTCTTCTCTCTTGAGAGGTGCCAAGTAGTGCCAGTGGTGATGGGTGAGGGTTGCAGTGTGGGTAACTGTTCATTTCAGAGTCAACTGAGAACCCAAAATTAATGTAATGCTGAACACCAACAGATGATAGAAAAATGTGGTCATTAGTGGTAGGTAGTATGTGAGGTGGAAGGGAGTTTTCCAAAGTTGACAATTTTTGTATTTTAAAAAACGTTGACAGGCCCAAAGACTGTCGAGTGGGCTCACTTGTAAATTCCTGTGAACTGCTGACCCTGCGGCAATAGTCCGTGTGTCAGCCTACAGGTTTAAAGCTGAATATCCTTTTACCAATATCCTGAGCTGCCCCGTGTGTGTGGTTATTGTATATGCATTACTCTTGCAGAAAATGGCAACTGTACCAAAGAGCTTACAGTCTGCATCTGAGTCGTATAGCAAATGAGGGTAAAACGGATATGTAATAAAGGGAGGGGAGAGGGGTAAAATGAAAAATTATAGTCATTATCTTCTCTTAAATGTAACCATTTTGAAATAATTTTAGCAAATTTACAATAGCCATTTAGCCACTAGATATTTTAACCAATTTACATTTTGGAACTTGTAATCATTAGCTCCTGTTACATGTACCTCACGGGACTTAATTAACTCAATGCTTGTAAAGTGGTTTGAGACCCTTAGATGAAAAGGGTGCTAAGTGCAAAGTATCATTCTTGTGATTTAAATCGTGCATGCTCACCTCTTAACTTTGTGTGTTTCTTAATTTGAGGTATACAACTTCTTCCATGCAAACTGTTATAACGTGTTTTAGGAAGAGATCCAGAATAAAAAGAGACAGGTTTCAGAGTGGTAGCCGTGTTAGTCTGTATCAGCAAAAACAAGGAGGAGTCCTTGTGACCCCTTAAATTTGTTAGTCTCTGACGTGCCACAAGTACTCTTAGTTGTTTTTAATAAAAAGAGAGAAGTGTTTTATCAAGTTGGCTATAGCACTCCTTACACATTCAGAAAGGGAAAACCATTGAGATGGGATTGAATATAGAAAAGGGGGAAAATGTAAACATAGTAAAAATGCAAATAATTTCTAGATTAGGATATTTTAAAATTTTGCCTTTTTAACCACTTATATAGGATTTGAAAACCAAAGACACATTGCTGTTTTATTTCCTGTTCTCAGGCATTGTTTCTATATTAAGTGGAGTCAAGCAATGTTAAAGTGCCAGTCACGTATGAAAAAAATTTAATCTAGATCAAGAAGATTTATACCTGAAAGAATGCTAAGGCTACTATTTAAGGTTTAAAATTTTCAGTGCCTTTCACTGGATATCATCATCCTGTCCCTGTCTGCATAGCTAATGTAGTCTTTCTATTCTGTTATTACTAGTTGGTCACTAAACTGAACAGAGATACAGAATTGTGGAAGAGAAAAACTATTATGTTTCCAGTCCTGACAAGATGATAGTGCTGTTACTGCCATCAGTTTCAAACAGGCTATAATTTAGAAATAATGACAGTGGAATGTGCAGTACTGACAGATAATGTACATTCACAGCAATGTAGGCATTAGGCAAAACCGGCCCTGGAGGGTGGTATTTGGGTAAAATACAGCTTTGATTGCTATTGTCCCTGTTATAGTGTTTCAGAGCATTTAATATCCGTTAAAATTCAGAAGTACATTTTCCTTTGGTGTTATGTCAGTTAATGATACAGAACTTTACATTTTCATGAACTTACCCCATTTTAATTATGTATCTGTGATTATATTTTTGTATGGTATAGATGGGTTCATTTAAAATACGTACAGTGTCCCTTTCCTTTACAAAATTTGTAAGTTGGTATCGCTGTATAAAATTCAAGCTTTCACTGAAAAACTGATTTTTAAGTTGAGTAGTCAAATTTGCAGCCTGCTCATGCTTTTATAAAAGCATCATGATAAAACTATGTACTCTCTGAATAAAAGACTTGGGGGGTTTGAAAGCAAAGCCTGAGTTATGCAAAAAAAACTTCATTAATTTATAATGGGTTTTCAGTACTACATGTGAAAATTTTACCTTTTCTCACACAATCTCTGTCTCATTTTCATGTACAGTCACAGGCCAGGTAAACTTTTCAGAAGTGTCTAGGTGACTGTGGAGCCCAAGTTCCATTTTGAAAAGAAACTTGGGAAATTAGGAGTCTTAGCAGCCAGATGACTTTGGAAAAGTCCTAGTGGATAAAATTTTTAGAAGCATGTCTTTTACTATCCATGCAGTGCTGCCAGGATATGTGCACGCTATAAGAATTACTTAGAACCAGTTGTCAGTAAACACATTTGAGGGAAAGAACTACTCTGTAAAATAGTTCTGATGACTTTAATATTAATAAACATCAATACATCTAATCATAAAGCTGCACCATGAAGACGTTCATTTAGAAACATTTATGACATTCATTTGTGACTAATCATAGGCCAAATGTTGATATCGTTACTTAGCTTTTTTTAATCTTTATTCAGACAAAAATCTCATTTAAAACAATTGACGTTTCAGAGTTCAAACTTCCTGGGAGTCAGCAAACATACATAGCAACAAAGATTGTATTTCTTGTGCCTTGAAAGAAGTTCTGTTGAGTTACCTGGTGGCCTGGATTCTACAATCCAAAACTTGGTACTGAGACATTATGGCAGAGCCTTCACTGACGTGGTTTCCGTTCTGCACAGATTAGGGCAGTTTTATTGTAAATTTCACACACGACAGAAGCAGCAGTAGCTATATTAATAAGCAGCTATGTTTGGATTGCATATAATAAACTTTTTATGAAAATTTGTTCATAGGTCTTACAATGTGTAGGGTCCGTTCTCCCTACGTTGTAATTTCTGGAAAGAGATTACTTTCATGGGTGTTACCCATATAATTGAAGAGCAATTATATTGCAATATCCAGCATATGATGGTGGGAAACTGGACTCAATATTTTTGCACTAAAAACTAAAGACTGGAAAGCCTGAAGAGGAAAAAATACCAACCTAATCATTTATCAAAGAACGTTTGTTTATTCCTGCGCAAAACAGTTATTCCATTAAAAAGAAATTACTCACAAAACTGCAAAAACACAGATGTGCAGTAACCTGGTTTACATATATTGATCTGTGATAGGAGGCCTTTTTAAAAAACTATAAATACCTTGAATTACAAGCTCATCAACTGCATCAAAATGATGAAAATTTTGAATTTGTGTGTCTCCCATAAAGGAATTTGTTTAAAATTCATTAATAGATGATGGTTGGTCACATCCTTATCTCAAGGGACATATTTATTGTGCATCTGTTTTTTTTAATTATCCCCATTGTACATCTACAGGTACGTAAGGAATATGGAAAGTGCTTCCGACATTCCTATTGCTGTGGTGGACTACCAACTGAGAGCCCCCACAATTCAGTGAAGGCGTCGACAACAAGAACTAGCGCACGCTATTCCTCTGGCACTCAGGTAACAAAGACTTTGACAGCATCTTCTAATTAACCTTATTTACAAAAGCCTACTGAAACATGTTTCATTCATGTGCACTAACTGTCTTCTCATTATAAAGATCTAGGTGGCAAAACATGGTTTTGTTTTGTAGAATGGATTTCTTTTTAAACATTTCCTTTCAGTTTGTTCTTATGCAAACATCCTCTTTTTTTTTCTTTTTTTTTTTTAAGGGAGCTGGCAAGGATACCATCATATTTTATCTAATTGGAATTTAGTAGACTAGACTTTTCATAACAAAGGAGCCAATTTATTTTAGAAATTATTTAGGTTAGAGCGAGAAGCAATGTAAATGCTTCACATGATGACAGACGAAAGGGGGAAAATCTGTTTGTGCCCTAAAATACAATGTTTATGTCTCACTGCTTTACGTTAACAGAGTCGTATAAGAAGGATGTGGAACGACACTGTGAGAAAACAATCTGAATCTTCCTTTATCTCAGGTGACATCAACAGCACTTCAACACTTAATCAAGGTCAGTCACTGGGAACATTTCAATTTTAGATGACTTAGATTTAATAGCATTTGACAGATAGAGTTGAAACAAATTTGTGTTGGAAAAAAAACTCTCGAACGCATGTTGTCTAAAATTATAGTCTTCCACGAGCACATTTTAAAATCAATGTTCACTCAACTTGCCCATTCACTATAGAAGTTGACTTTCTCTATTCATGGGAAATGTGTGTTAATAAGTTTCTTCAATAATTTAGCTTAAAAGCAAGAACATAATTTTAAAACTTTACTAACCTTTATAGGTTAAATCTGAAACAGAAATACAAGTGCAGTAACATTTTTAATGCATATTTGAGACTGTTTTTTAGACTCAGAAATGTTCCCAGTGAAATCAAATTGACACCGTTTCTATGCAAAAGACATGTGTAAAGATTTTTTTCAGTAAAATTTTTATCCTTTCTGTGACAGCATTGTGTCTGCTATGTGTAATGGCCCCAAAAATACACAGCCACATAAACTAGATTGCAGGCTTCTGGTGGCCACAAATTTATTAATCGTTTTAACTTGAATTGAAGATTATCCAGCATATCTAGTCCATACAGTATGTAACATTTGTGAAGGCCCCAAACACATGCTAATGCCCATGGCCATCCAAAAATGAGGAGAGTTCTAGCCACAATCACCACCACTCTTTTCTCCCCTCACCAAACTTTGTGCCAAGGAGCCACTAATGGAGGTAGGGCTGTTCTGTATTAAAGCTGAATGCAAAAGCCTGTCACTATGTCCCTTTCCCCCTATCTGTGCCCTAGCTTTACCTTTTCTCAACTCTGCACCCACATTGTGAGAAAAGGGTATATGAACCTGACCTTGCTGCAACAGACTCCTGCTAAATTGGCAAAATTTAAAAAGACAGTAGCAAAACTACTATTAGTGCTACCAAATTTAGCAACCCCTATAGATGCTGCTCAGTTCAGGTGAAAATCCTTAGGAACCATAACCAGCAAGCCCCTTTATCTTCAACCCACAAACTAAGCATTAATCCTAACTGCTGAACCTTGGAAATGAGGAAGGCAAAAAACAAACCACCAGCAACACACGAGGATGCTGCTTAGGGTAAAATTACTTCCTGACCCCAAATACAACAGTAGGCTAAACTCAGTGAACTGCCATCCACCTGAATCTTTACATCTACTCTAGAATCTGGTGAACTAAAATTAACCAATTGCTGGCGGTAGAAGAGGAGTTTGCTGCTGCTGGGAAGAGGTATGCCCTGCATAGGCCAGCAGAAGCCAGCCTGGGACCTCACCCCTTTGAAGCCCATCAGTCCCCAGACTTGCTCTGCCTGTGCCATGGCCTTCAGCTAATTCAAAGGCCAAGGTTAATGTGATGTTGGGGCCTAACAGCCATACCACTAGGCAATAGGCACAAGGTCTTTTCAGGGGAAGAAACCATGACCAAATGAACCCCTTTCCCTTGTGCTAGTCTGCCAAGCTTTGTAAAGGGTTTTAGTTACAATATCACCATTAGAATGACACAAATCTAAACAAGCTAATTTACTAATTAACTTGGGCTTTTGGGGTTTTGTAAATGAAGCTTTAGGATAAAATTGACAGAAAATATGGAAAGGTTACTTACCTTACGCAGAAACTGGGGTTCTTCGAGATTCTACCCCCTGTGGGTGCTCCACTTAGGACACTACTCAAAGAAGAACTGTTGGTAACCTGTACACTAGTAAAAGTAAAACAAGCTAAAAGTAAAACATACAGGAGAAGATTTAATATATTGTAATATGGAAGTGCACTGGAATTAGTATTTCTCATTGTGTCCAAATAGCAACTTTTACAAGTTAGGGTAAAAAGCAATCTAATTGTTAACCAAATTAAACTACTGTCAAATAAAATTAGCATAATCTGTCAATAAAAGAATTCTCTGAACTCCAGGAATTTCTGCTACCTAGAATAAAATATCTCTAGTAGGATAACGGCATTAATATTTAAAATATAATGTCTTTGGCTATTGCCTGAATGAGAATCTAATAAATTTAAATATAGTATGAAAATGTGGATGGCTTTTTAGCTCTCTTTGGACATGTAATGTATTCAGATAACATTAGTCCTGATGCAGTTGTGCAACTCAATACAACATAAGTTGAATTTTACCTTAATGAAATGTTTAAAATCATGTTTTCAATCAAAGGTTTTAGCATAATTTTTCTTCATTATTCTGACTAGTTTTCCTACTAATTTAAAAACCAGAAGTCACACAGCCAAATTAACTGGTTTTTAAACATTTAGTTTTTAATAAATTATGCTGAAACTTTGTCTAATAAATTACTTGAAATCTTGTGTAAATGGTGATGCATTAAAGTTGAAAATTAGTAAAAATCTGTTCATGTTATCATGTCATGTTTTATTTTATCTTGCTAAGCCAATTGTTAGAGAAATTTAGACATTTAAAAATTTATTTTTAAAGCCTGGCAGATATTGTTGCAGCATGAATCTGTTCCAAAAGAACATATGAATGGTTTAATTTCTTAAAGCAAAACATTTTGCTTTCTCTTCAGCATGTGCGCTTTCGCATATACTAAGATAGGCTTGTTGCAGTTTGTCATTCCTTGTATTTCTTTGAAGAAAGTTATTTCTTTCCCCCTCCCCTCTGCTTTTCAGAGGTTAGTAATAACCCAGATGTTTTCATAAGGGATTGTCCAACATCTCTAAATTAATAAAATTTAGACTTTTCAGTTCTGGACCACAGTGTTCAAGATTCTTGATTAAGCTATAGCATCTTCAAATAGAATATGGATCCCTATGCACTTAACGGCTATTCTTCTTTAATGTTATTTTTGTATAAATCAGTAAATGTCATTCTTAGCAGGTGTTTACTTTGGGGATTTGGACAGCACCTGTGAATTACTGAAATTTAACTTAAGTTTTCTCTGTCCTCCTTCAAATTAGTAGTTCAAATACATTCAGAAATTTTCAGCTGAATTACATTTGACAAGTTCTACATGACTCATGATGAATAAAAAAAATGTTATAGAAAACTGTCAGAATAAAATTAAAGAACTGATGTCTCTTTTTCTGTTTCTTTGCTTTAGGAATGACTGGCAATTACCTACTAACAAACCCTCTTCTTCGACCACACGGCACTAACAACCCCTATAACACATTGCTCGCTGAAACAGTTGTATGTAATGCCCCTTCAGCTCCCGTGTTTAACTCACCAGGTGTGCTTATACTTATTGAAAAAAAAACGAAACACTTTTCTTTAGTCTGAGTCCTTTCTTTTTGCTAGCTAGAAACTCAAGTTGCAATATTCTAGTCCTGCATTCTGAATTTCTGTCAGTTTAAGAAATACTTACAGTGTTGCCAATGCCAGGCTTGTAAAACTGCACTATATTATAGTAATGCCTTTGCCATAATAGTATTTACCAATAATTATCCATGTTTTTAACACAGGTGGCATAAATCTTAATATACTATTACAGGACTGACACCACATGGTCCGAGAGCCCATCTTCAAGATATATATCACTTAGAGGTATCATGTCTATGCAATATAAGCTTCAGTTGACTCTAAATCTTGCTGAGAAAAACCTGCGTATGGAGCTGATTAGATAATAAAGCAGTGCAAGGCATCTTGACACTTTTGGATACCCTGGTGTAGAAAATTGCTTCCAGCATCAAAGATAAACCAAACTATAGTATAGTGCAGCTTTATGTTAGTTGATTTCTTTAGGAGAATCTTGAGGTTATAATTAGAACAGTTTAGTTCTCTGGAATAAGGGTGTCATCACTAACCTAACTTTTGTTGTGATATTATTCAAATGCTTTTCTTAATTGCAGAGCAGTTCATAAATGAATATATATCTAGTAGTTACAGTTTTGATGAGTCAAATAATTGCCTCTAGTGTAATTAAAACTCAGTGTTAAAACTTTGACACTATGGAGAACATAAAACCTGTTTCTGTTTTTTATTTCAAATTTCTTTTTTAACTGAACTGCAGTTTCTATTTTCATTCTCTTGTTTTCTTACTTTCCTTATGCTTTCCTCTAGCAACCTACAGAGAGACAAGTATGGGAGTAAAACTTAACTTTGCCTATCAAATGTAAATTTTTTCAGCATGGTTTTTAATGGGCACAATTAAAACATAACTAGTGGTCATGAAGTAGACTCAGCGGGCAAGTGGTTCACAATTTGCAATTGAAATGTTTCCACGTTCAAATAGTACTTCTGTAGTGCTTTTTGGAAAATAACACAAGGTCTGTAGCAAAGCCTATTGGTAAATGAGGATATGCAATGCTGAAATAATTTGCTGTTTAAAATCAAAGCAATGTCAAGCAAAAATGCTTAATAATTTACTTACATTTCTACATTCCCACAGTAATCTTGCTACAGGCTATGGAAAGATTTCAAATGAATTACCTGATCATGGGCAACAAAACTTGCCTCTTCAAATCAGTCAAAGTATATTCTAGAGTGCTTAACTCTGCAGTATATCACAGAACTCTGACTTAGGGTTATCAAATACGTTTTGGTATCTGCTTAGCAGAGCACAGAGAACAAAATTATAAAAATAAATCACTTTCATTAGGGAAATGAATGCCAGCATGCGGTCCATGTGTTGCCTCACTCTTATAAATGCCATATGTTCTGTGCAGCTAAGATCTTGAAACATATATGAAGTTACAAAGCTATGAAGTTGTTTAATCAAAGCTTAAAGAGGCCTTTCAAACAACCATCATCACTTTGTCTAATTTGGTACACATGGCAGGCTGGAATAACACAATACAAAATGACTTGCAAGTTTTTCCAAAGGAGAATTTAGCTCAAAATCAGTATTCTGCTACCAAAACAGTCTCTTGACAAAAACATATCACTTTCATATTTAAAAAATTTTTAGAAGACACTTGCATTTTCTAGAGTACGCTGCAGCTTTAAGTGTGGAACAAAGGCAAAACAAGAAAATCTGTAATCTTTTTCAAACAAAAGTTTTTTCCCCTGTACTCCTCCAAGCCTTGCATATAATGCAGCAGCCTCACAGTGATCAGTTTCATTCCAATAACATCACTTCATTCTTTCTTTATTTCCAGTCATATTTGTAGTTAAAGTGACTTTCTAGGAATCCACTAACAATCTAACTTTCCATGCTACAGGCTTTTCAGTTTCTTTCAAAACTCTTGTTTTTCTTGCCTGGGAAGCGTTGTGATTTTGTAGTTTACTTGTCTTTGTGTCTGTAGAAAATACATTTCTTTAACGCAAAAAACTTGTCACCATAAGATTCCAGTTTTTTTCCTTAAACTTCTTTTCATATCTCCAGCAGACTTACCCAATCTGTCATTCCTCCAGCAGTTAAAAGATGTCAGCCATAGCTGATTTCCTCCTCCCATTCCACAGTTAATATTTATTCTTTGGTTTAATTTCTGTGACCCATGCTTACAGAAATTCCTAACATTTCTGCATTTGAACTGCATGCCCATGGTGTCTGTGGGCCTAAGTCTTAATTGACTATACTGGTTCATTCAGTGCTGTCACTGTGACTGATGCAGACTGCAGGCGAACTTTGACCTTTAGAAGCCCGAGGCCATTGCTGGCAGACAGAATATTAGTACAAAAATTACATTAAGTGGGAAAAAAGCTGTTATTGCTAGTAATCTAATTTGCTGAACCCTTGCTCTGACTAAGTTGCTGAGAAGCTTAGTAATTCTTCATCATGTTACAATAAATCATTTTACTTTCTTTTATATATCAGCTACTCTTAGGCCAGATAGCCTGAGCAGACAGACATGATGTGAGTTGTCAAAGTGAGTCATTCCACCTGCTGTCTATCGTGTTGTTGGATGGTGCTTGTGGGCCCTGGTCCCTTTAGTGTGAAAGTTGGCTGTCCTTGTTTAACATAAATTCTTTGTATTTGTCCATTTTTCATTCTTTTCTTTACTTCATCTCCAGAAAAAAAAGGAACGGTTAGAACTGTTGTTAAATAGTTGCTTGCCAGTTATGTGGGTTTATGTTATACATTTACCTTCAGTTTTGTATGTGGCCTAATTCCTTTTTAATTTAGTGTCGTTTAGGACAAATTCTGTTAATTTTATTTTTCTAATCATGGTGTTGTACTTTAAAATGTAAATATTTACAAATGAATTGCTTTGCATTACATATGCAAGGGCATGGAGTGAACAGTTCCTTGTGGAAGAGTCATAAACCTGGTACTGAATTATGAAATCCGAATCCCAGAGTACCCCCTAAATTTCTAAATTAAAGTCCAATTCCACCCCATGGGAAATCAGTATTATTTTTTAAATACATCTTTCCTATAAGGTGTGCAACTGTTTACAGTTGGGAATGTTCAATAACCTAACTTCTTTCAAGTCTTACTTCCAAGTACAACTTTGTCCTGAACTACATTAAAGAGTTTTATACAAAAAGAAGAAAAGTAAAAAGAGTGCCAGAGAGTAACCCAAACTGTCCCCTTTCTATTTCAGGACATTCACTGAACAATGCCAGGGATACAAGTGCCATGGATACTCTACCGCTAAATGGTAATTTCAACAACAGCTACTCGTTGCGCAATGGAGATTATAATGACAGTGTGCAAGTTGTAGACTGTGGACTAAGCCTGAATGATACTGCTTTTGAAAAAATGATCATTTCAGAATTAGTGCACAACAACCTGCGGGGCAGCAGCAAGAACCACAACCTGGAGCGCACACTCCCAGCCAAAGCTGTGATTGGCGGGAGCAGTAGCGAAGATGACGCAATTGTGGCGGATGCTTCATCTTTGATGCACAGTGACAACCCAGGACTGGAGCTTCACCATAAGGAGCTTGAGGCACCACTCATTCCCCAACGGACTCACTCGCTTCTGTACCAGCCACAGAAGAAAGTGAAGACTGAAGGAACTGACAGCTACGTCTCACAGCTGACAGCTGAGGCTGAAGACCACCTACAGTCCCCCAACAGAGACTCTCTTTACACAAGCATGCCCAATCTTAGAGACTCTCCTTATCCAGAGAGCAGCCCTGATGTTGAAGAAGATCTCTCTCCCTCCAGGAGGAGTGAGAATGAAGACATTTACTACAAAAGCATGCCAAATCTTGGAGCTGGCCATCAGCTTCAGATGTACTATCAAATCAGCAGGGGCAATAGTGATGGCTATATAATTCCTATTAACAAAGAAGGATGTATCCCAGAAGGAGATGTTAGGGAAGGGCAAATGCAACTAGTGACAAGCCTTTAATAGTGTAGCAAAGAAATACTAAAGGCCACATACAAGTATTAAAAAGACTTTATTGGCCCAACGCAGGCTCCCTCATATCTGCTCAAAGAGACTATTCTGTTCACCCTGTGGTTCTCCGGTGTAAAGGGAATGACTGGACCTTGCAGTTCTGTGAATTTTTATAAAACAAAAACTTTGTATATACACAGAGTATACTAAAATGAATTATTTGTTACAAAGAGAAGAGATACCAACAAGGTATTTTAAGATATCTTCTGCTGCTGAGTTTAACAAAATTGTGAAACAAACAAACAAAGATGAAAACTTTCCAGCCATTTTACTGCAGCAGTTTGTGAACTATATTTGTAAATATGGCTGCACCCTCCCCCCTCCTTTTTTGGGTAGGCCTGCATTGTATTATATACAAGACGTAGGCTCTAAAATCCTGTGGGACAAATTTACTGTACCTTATTATTCCTGACAAGACTTTCAAAAGCAGGAGAGAGAGATTCTGCATCAGTTTGCAGTTCACTGCAAATCTTGTCCATTAAGGCAAAGATTGAAAACATGTCTAACCACTAGCAATCAAGCCACAGGCCTTATTTCATATATTTCCTCAACTGTACAATGAACTGTTCTTGTGAAAGATGGCTAAAGAAATTATATTTTGTTCTATTGCTAGGGTAAAAAAATACATTTGTGTCCAACTGAAATATAATTATTAAAAATAATTTTAAAGAGTTTGAAGAAAATATTGTGAAGAGCTCTTGGTTGCACATATGTTATAAGCTGGTTTTCTTACACTTTGTTCATAGTACTGTAGTATGTTTAAATTCCAAGTTCTACCTGGTTTCACTTATTTTTCACTGTAAACAGTGTTCTGCTTTGAGAAGTTAATTTTTATTCTTATGTTTGACTTTTTTTTATTGCCAAAAAAACCAAACAACCGATTTCCAAGGAGAAATTTCTCTCAGAAGCCAGTTATGCCATGCCTTGCACAAATTTGGTAAAATCTAGCCAAGATTGTAAATCAATTCCCTGTTCATTCTTTAACCAGGGTGGGAAGGGGAGGGCTAATGGGCACTTCTCTCAAACTTTCTGGTGAACAAAAGGTGCCTGTCCTTTTAAAAATTAAATAAAACAAATATTATTCCTCCATATTCCTTCTGCCTATATTTAGTAATTTATTTTATGATAAAGATCTAATGAAATGTAAATTGTTTCAGCAAAATTCTGCTTTTTTTCATCCCTTTGTGTAAAACTGTTAATGAGCCCATCACTAATAACCAATGTAAAGTTTAACACCTGTTTGACAGTAAATAAATGTGAATTTTTTTCCAATATAGGTAAAATGTGAATTATGTATGAATTGTAATTGGCGTGAATTTTCCTTTGACCCAGCTGTGTTCTGCTTCAAACTGCTCCCTTATGTTTCACTATTTAAATATAAAAGAATACAATAGGAGCTGCGTATATGTTGCTACTGAATAGAGGTCATCATTGCAACTTAGCATTCTAGTCACAATCACATATGATCAAAGTCAGAGACATGAGCTCCATTAGGAAATTGTACTGTAATCTCAGACATTTACATTAGATTTTTTTAAAATAGGATTCAATCTATTTTACATTATTTTTAATTTCAGTACAATCACATTTTGGGCAACTGCTTATGTGTTTATAATTGAAGATGAAGATAATGCTTTGCAATGGAAAAAGTGTTTAATAAGCAGCATTTATGTAGCTGTGTACAATCAAACAATCAAAGCACCCTTTTGAGATGGGTAAATAAATATTATCCACATTTTACCAGATGGGGAAATCGAGGCAGACAGTTTCAAGCAGTTTCTTGACAAGGCAATACAGTAAGTCAATGTTAGAGCTGGGATTTAGAAATCTGGATAACCTGCTTCCCAAACCTCTTCATTTCTCTAGACCATGCTGTTTCTGAGTTGCCTGTGGTTTTATGAGATACAAAGCATATTTTGATTTCTGTGAATCCAAACAATATTCTGATAAACCCTAACTACCTAAATAGCTCAGAGGACTTACCTGCACTCACTTGGATTTTGGAAAAATAGAATTTCAGAAAAATTAAATGACACTGTTGGAGGACATTTCTGAATTTTGACTAATATGAATGCCAGGTAACTGGGATTCAGAAAATCAGGGTTTACCTTTATTCCAACTCGCATTTTCTGTGACATAGCAACAATTGATAATGAAGATAAAAGCATATTTACATAATGTCCAACTGGTAATCCTGCCAACAGGTTTGTTAATGCTCAAAGCTGTAGTTTTTATAGTGTGTTCCCTGGAGGTAAGTGGTCTTTTCATCAGAGGCTGACTTCTGTTTACCATATATGTCACAAAAATTGAACTTTGAGTAATAAGGATTTGTCCTGAGCCAGGATTTACACCAGATTCCTTTGGATCAAAATGATTCCCCAGGGTCATCCTGCAAGCTTGGAAACTTATTTATTAACTTCTAACTAGAAAATAATGGATTTGGAAATGCTGTATGTATACATTATAAATTCACTAATTTTAGATTCTTGCAACACTTATTCATATGAGTAATCAATCCCTAGTCTTATGAGAAGCCTCATTGTCTTCCATTGGACTACCTAGTTGAGCAAGGTTTGCAGGATCATGGCCTTAAACATCTATATTAAAAGAAAGTTCAAGCGACGTGTGTGTAAAACCAAGGACATTTAATTGAAATACTGTCAATGCCTATGGATAATGAAATACATTAAGGAAGTGCTTTACGAGTATATCCTGTTGTAGCCAGATATTATAGAGAATTATTGGTTTTATTAATGTCTTTGCACAGTCTTACTGTTTTTTTTTTTAAGATATGATTTTGCTCGTGAATATCCTCAAGCAGCTATTTTTCCTGGAGTAGTTCGATTGAAATCAGTGAAGAATGGCCCTATGTAATTACATGGCTGATGTTTTGGGGGGAGCTCTTGCTTTACATTTCATGGCCTACAGCTATACCATCTTGAATTGTGAACCCATATCTGACAAACTAAGCACAGTTGGGTGAAGGGATTGGATCTAAGAATTCCAAAGATAATGAAGTTCGGCTGGTACCGGTGTTGGGGATTCAAAAAGTAGCAGTCTTTTTTTGGAGTCAGTACTTAACCAATTCCCACAGTAATGCCATGAACACACTGCTGTTGAAGGTGCCGTCTTTCAGATGAGCTGTAAATCTGCTTGTGATCATTAGAGATCCCCTGGCATTTGTGGTGTTAACCCCTGTGTCTCGACCAAATTCCTTCTTAGGTAATTTCAGTCTGTCTACATGAATTCTCTCAGCAGTTTCAGTGAGATTCAGTATTGTTCACCTCCTGTACATCACTGTGTAATGTTGCTGTGCACTGTTAAATAGCTGATACATTTCAGTAGTAGGTGAAGTAATCCTAACTCTATACACATCAGTTCAAATTCAGCCCTGAGGCTGGCAGAGGCAACTCAACTGATCCCACTGGCTGTGTCCGCACTGAACCTAGGAGGTGCAATTCCTAGCATGGGTAGACACAATCACACTAGCTCAGTTGGAGCTAACAGTCTAAATGCAGTAGTGTGGATTTTGCTGAATAGACAGCAACTTGGGCTAGTCCCCCAAGTCTGAGCATGCCGGCCCTCTTGTGATGCCCCCATGAGGTGCTGCCCACACGGCTACTTTTAGCATGCTAGCTCAGCTTAAGCTAGCATGTCTTTCTGGACCCCACTGGGAATCACACCTCTCTGCGGTATAAATATGGGGTAAACTTGATCTATGGTTTGTGAAATTTAATAATGCACTTTCCATTTCCTTGGGGTAAAAGACCCTCCAGGAATAAAGTTTATTAATAGACTATATTAAAAACGAGCTACTTAAAGTGTTTTAAATCTTACTTAAGTCATCCTCAAAATATGTATCTGATACTGTTTTAGGTCCTTAAGCACTTCAGGAAAATGGGAAAATTACTTCCTGCAGAGAGAGACTTCATATTAAAATAGTTCACTTAAAGAACAAAATTAGCAAAAAGCAATAGTTTCACCTTGAGGCTTTTTTAAAAAATTGTTTTTAAAAAAGCAACAAGAAGCACTCAAAATGACCTTACAGTACATGGGCATGAATTGCCATTGCCTCACACATTATAACTGACAGCAGTGGAAAGTAAGTGTGAAATGACTTTACTATACTAGCAAATCAGAACGGTCTTCTACGCATTTTTGTACTCATTTTGTTTAGTGTGAATTCAGGAGGTGCAGGGCAACAGAATCAGACACCATGTTTTTGTCCCATTTTGACTCAAAACTAACTCGTTTTCCTTTGGCTTTTATTAAAATTATCTTTTGGAATGAGACTTTTTTATGCCAAAGCTCAACTCTGCATGAAGTTTTATTGCAAGGCCAGATATTTTTGAAACCATATAACTATAAATAGTTATACCAGTCAGCCCCCTATGGTTCTCAGCACAGGCCAAATTTATTGTCCTGTTACTAGGGCTCTCAGGTGGGTACTAGCCACTTATTCTTGCATCTTGTATGCCAGTTGTACATCAACCCAACCGATCCTGCCATATGGAAGATGCAGGGAGGTAGTGGGATTCCTGAGTCCAGTCTGTGGTCTGGTCCCACAAACCCACTTTGAGCAGGGAGGTCAGGAAAATTAGTGTTTTATCCCACCACCTCTTGCTGCGGACTCTGGCTACTCAAGTAATTGTTGTAAGGATGCCACAAGGAGCTATGAGATAGGGTCTTGATTTAAACAGGGAAGCATGGTGGGTTGTAGATAGGTCCCCTCTCACAAACCTACCCTGTTGCAAGAGTAGATTTCTCTCCCAGCTGAAAACTTTGGATTTTAAACTAGAATTGCACTCTTTAAATCATTCAACTAATGTCTAAAGGTTGGAGTCCAGTTCCCTGCTTGGCTGGGTGGAAGCAGATGCTTTATGCCACCGTGCCTGGGGGAGTGGGAGGTTTGTGTCCCTGGTATTTATAAGCAGCCTGGCAATTGTGGAGTCCAGGACCAGGCAGGACTGCAGATCTACCAGAGCCAGGATTTCACTCAAGGTTCTTGCTGCTGAGGACTTTTTTTTTCCAATATACTGTTTTAGAGGTTTTTAGAAATACAACTTCCAATTCCCTTTATATGCACAAAATAAATGACCAATGGTGTTTCATTAATTCATGCCTAAAAGCATTAACATCTCATTACATTATGTCACCATTCATTAATCTCAATCTTTCCCCATCAAAAGTTACTGGCATGTGAAACATCACCAAGGCCTCGCTCCACGATACAGCCTAAGTATTTATAAATAGTAATAGCAAAAATGCACACAGCCAGAAAGCAGGAAGCAAGAAGATTTAAAGTGCTAGCACATAAAATGCATCAGTCAGTCAGACTGCATTACCAGTGACCACAGACGAAGTCTTGTTGCAGCTATGGAGATGGGAAATATTTTGGTAGCTTGCTTGTTTGGCAGATTTTGGTGGCAGATGTCTGTGACATGCTTGTTGCAGCTTGGCCGTAATTTTGAGTGGGCACCTTCATCCAGTCTAGTCCCATATGATAAAACATTATGCTACGATGTTTGTGAGTCAATCATTAACATCTAAAAATTAACAAACCACAAGGAATTATCTAGAACCTTTGGAAGCATTTCAGGCTCATTTTCTAGGTGTTGGAAGGTGCGTATGGTTAAGGGTGTAGGCTAGAGCTGTGACAGGCTTCCTGTGTGACTTGGAAGGTGATTGCTAGTGCAGCAGCCCAAGGGACCAAGGCTTAAAGCTGCCCTTGTGCCCTGCCAATCTCCAGCTGCTTCAGGGGCCAAGTTTTGACAGCCTCCCTTGGCTGATCTAAGGGTACCAGCGCTACCCAGAATCGCTGCAATTCTTTGTGCTGCAGTCCCACCACTGGCACAGACCCTGTGCAAAGGATGGCAATGCGATCTTCAGAGACCAGCAGCCAGCCTTAGTTCCCACGCTGGAGAAAGTCTTCTCTTTCCCTCCCCCCACTGGGTCCCAGGCCCTTTATGTGGACCAAGGCAGAGGGTGAACATCTCATGCTTTGGGCTAGATTTTTAAAATGATAGAGGAGCTTAGGTACTTTTGAAAACCCTGTTAGGTGCCTATTTGAATCTTCAAGGGCCCAAAAGTCATCTTTAAAAAAAAACACCAAAAAACTGTCCATCAGTCCCCCATCTGTAAGTGGGAGTAAATTTCCCTGCTTCACAGGATAGTTGTGAGGCTCTCACTAGTTAGGGGATGGAGGCATCTGCAGTACTTGGAGAAACCATTCATATCTCTAGCTTATGTAGCTTTGAAGACCTACCCAGTGT